TACTCGCACAGCTGAAGCTGATGGGAATGACATTGTTCTCACAGTGTTGGACACATTAAAATGTTGACCTGATGGCGGAGCTGCAAGAAAAGTCACAGGATCACCGGAAGTATTACAGTTTGTCCTTGAAGGAACATGATCTGAATCACATTTCATCACAACCCATCCAACAGTTGTTCAGATAGTTCAGTCTGGAGCAAAGTGGAGGAGGAGCCCCACAACATGTCTGATTCTCCAGGTGATGATCAGGACTCTGAGGGTACAGAAAACCACTGCAAATTAGAAAATTAGAAACTTTGTTCACAGTAAAATGGACTTCAGCTTGGCATTAAACACCATCATCCCAGACTTCCTCCACTCCACACTGGCCCAGCTCACTGTGCCTGCCCCCACCTCTCGGTGGATCACCAACTTTCTGACAGACAGGAAGCAGCAGGTGAAGTTTGGGAAAACCACATCCAGCACCCAGATAATAAGCACAGGAGCCCGCCAGGGATGTGCCCTCTCCCTGCTGTTGTTCTCCCTCTACACCAATGACTGCACCTCGGAGGACCCCGCCTCTGTTAAACCCATGAAGTTTGCAGACAACACAACGGTCATCTGTCACATTTGAGACGGTGACGAGTCGGCCTACAGACAGGAGGTTGAACAGTTGGTCCTGTGGTGTGGTTGCAACAACCTGGAGCTGAACATACTGAAAACAGTGGCGATGACAGTGGACTTCAGGAAGAGCCCCACCCCACACCCCTTCCTTGTATGTTCAAACATATCTGGCCACTAAAGATGAATGTAATTCTCACTCTGATTAAAATGGACATACCACATTCTGACTTCATGGGATGAAAATTAAATTAGAAATAGAAAACACTTTTTTCCCAACATAGAAATAGGCTCCTCCCAGGAGGTGTGGTAGCTGGTCTCATCCCAGTTGGAGCCATCACTCTCTCTCCTCATCAACAACAGTAGCCTATTGCTGAGCTGCAGGATTACTGCTGCTGCTGTTGCTGGGTGAGTATGCACTGTGCTGTATACTGAAACACACTGTTGTTTATCAGAAACACTTGCAGAGATTTTTTGTCTCTTCATGTTTGTGCCATGGACTGAATGATTCCAGATGTGCGAGCTGTGCTGAGGTGAAAATGAAGCGCTCCCTGGGGATCTGTTTGCTGATCTGCTCTGCCCTGATTGGACTTGGTAGGTTTGATTCTTCTCATTTTGTGAATTTACAACCAATTTATCATGTAAAACAGTTTGTAATTCTGAAATTACAAATTGTCAAATGATTCTTCCATAAAAATCAGGATTAAAAACTGCCTGTAGTCAATTTAACTCTGTGCCATTTTAATCATTAATATTCTTGATATGAAAAACAGCAGCAGAATCAAACAAATATTAAGAACCAAATTTAGGATTAGAAATGTTTGTTATCACCAATAAAAAAAATCTATTTAAATATTGATTATCTGATGAAACTGCTCAGTACCTCTACACACTGCTTTACGGAAGCATAAAGTCCAGTTCAACTTATTTTTGTCTGCTTGGTCTTTATCTGGGTTTGAGGTTTCCGGTGATAGCGCCCCCTGTGTGATGTGGCTGTACCAGCTGATGACTTCTCTGTGGCTAAAACAGTTACTTTTGACATTTTATTTTGCTTGGCGCAGCTTAGCCTGATGTTGCATGTGTATCACACTTACCTGTTTTCCAGCTGTTAACATCTGGACTACAGACATTTTAGGACCACTAGACTGTCTCTTAACTAAAGAGACAGCGCTAACACTAGCCACCTCCTCTGTAGCATTTACTATTTGTTCCTATTTTGCCTTTTACTTCCTGTTACCTTCCTCTTAACTTGTTGTTACCTGATAAAGTAAATACAGGTCACATACTGTACATTCTTTCATACAGCTGCTCTACAAAAAAAATTAATGTGGATTTACAAGAGTTGTTCATTAAATTGTTCCTTGACTCACATAAACACATAAAACAGCAACTTACTATTTTTACACTTCAGTTTTTGTTCATATTGAAAAAAAGCAACATTTAATGTGTTATTCAATAAGTGCTGTTTGGTAGATTTTGTTTCCCTGGGACAGAGTCAGGTTAGGTGTTTCCTTCGTTTTCAGTCATTAAGCTAAGCTAAGCTAAGCTAGCTGTTTCCCTGTTCCCCATCTTTATGTTAAGCTAAGACCGTGGTTTTCAAAGTGTGGGGCGCGTCCCACTAGTGGGAAATAGGTGGGGCGCAATGAACGGAAAAAATTAGAAATGGGTCATTAATACAAGTAAATTAAAATAACATCAGTTCTGGGCCCGGGGGAAAAAGTGGAACCATAGTGCAACAATAACGGTTTACTGTCGACATGTTAACTGCAGCGCAACATTATAAGGAAACTTTCACACAGAGGGCCAATACTTTATGTAGGGGACATAATAACATAAATGCATATATATGTTACATGGACCACAAAAAACAAACAAACAAAAAAAAAAAAAAACTGGCAATTCAGCGCAGACAAAAAAATGACAGGCAGTAGCCTTATCAAGACAACACACCCCAGTCACGTTAATAAGCCACTCGGCTGGCAGAATACCACCAGCAGGAAAATCGCATGGTAAAATCTGCATCAGTGAACAGCAAAGCACAAATGGCTTCATTCAAAGTTGCATAGAGAATTGCACAGTGCATAAAACCACACACAATTGCTGAGCAGCTCATTCTCCCTGCTGCTGTAGACATGGTGTTGATTATGCTGGATGAGACAGGTGCTGCAAAATTGAAAACTATCCCTCTGTCAAACGATACAGTTGCACTTATATTTTATCTGTTTTGAACTTGGTGTTATTTGATATTTCAATACATAAAAATTGGCCGATTTCATTATTTTTTTGACAAGTGGGGCTTGAAAATTCGCCCACCCTCTTAAGTAGGGAATGACAAAAAATGTTTGAGAACCACTGAGCTAAGATAACCAGCTGCTATGTGTAGCCTCATGTTTACAAACATAGCATTGGGGTCAACCTAGGCATCAGACTCTCAGAGAGAAAGATGAAGAAAATAAACTAAATATTTAAGAAAATGCTAAAGTATTACATACATATATATTTGGTAACCATGGAAACATGTGCACACCACCACAATGTGACTGAGATTCATGACAAAGTGGAGTTGTGGTGAGTTTGTGTCCTGCTCTGTTTATTTCACAGTTCTACATTACAAACCAAAAAGTAGTGAAACACAGAAATGAATGGAAAGCCTTTCTCCTCGGTCATGGTCCTAGAAATGTTTTCCAGTATTCCTTTCAGAAGACATACTGTTCAGCCATGTGGAATAAAACAATATTCATGTGATCACAGCTTAAACTGATCAAATGGTTCAGTTCAGTTACTGACACAGTTAAACAGCTCTATTTATGCTGCTTGATTCACTGTGTCAGTACATTTCTGCTGTTGTCCTGAAACACTACACAACAACAGGCCTCTTTCATCCCATTTCTGTTTTTACATCACAAGATACTGAAAATCCAGCAGCCGATGATCATTTGGGGATAATCAATAACCTGATCAGCTTCAGTAAAATACAGCCTGCTCACACTTTATGTTGGTTATTTGGTTAAAAAAAACAGCTGTGTTACTATTGTTGCATTTCTTACACAAAAACGGAGGAGAATTCAAACATCAGGTCAAGATGAAAAATTTTCAGCTTAAAATGGGTGTAGCAGTAGTAGTAACAGTAGCAGTAGTGGATGTAGTAGTGATGTAGTAACAGAGTGTGTCTGTGTTCCAGGATCAGCCATCCGATGTTACAGCTGTAAGGATTACACAGGCAGCTGTAGCAAAGAACGAGACTGTAGTTATGACGACGCCTGCCTCACGCTCTATGAGAGAGGTACCTCTGCACCTGTACACCTTTATATCTATACACATCTACCTGTACACCTGTAAACCTTCATACCTGTACAGTAACCATACAGGAAACTTGGCCTCTTGCTGGCTCAAACCCTTTCTGCCCAGAATTTCCCATTTGCTACTGCAGCTGCGCTTCACCAATTCTGCTCAGAATCTAATTTTCTATCATTGTTATGCAGGTGGGATGACCTATCGCCAATGTATGAAGTATTCAGACTGCGACTATGGACGGCTGGGCCAGATGTTCCCCCAGGTAAAATAATACTCTGCTGTACTGGGGTGGCTGTGGCTCAGGGGTAGAGCAGGTCGACCTCTGATAAAAGGGTTGGCAGTTCGATTCTCGTTCTCCCCAGCCCACATCTTGGGCTTGGACAAGACACTGAAACTGGTGGCCGGGCCAACGCCTTGCATGGCAGCTCCATTGCCATCGGTGTGTGTGTGAACGGGAGGATGGGTGAATCTGTAAAGTACTTTGTCCAGGTATGGTAGAAAAGCACTGTACAGTCCATTTACCATCCCCTTCATACAAAGACACATCACTAAAGTGACCACTTATAACAAACAGTAGATTTGCTGGAAAACACTGAGCTGAGAGAGACAAAGCAAAAGGACTGCTTCCTGCTTATTTAGTAATTAGGATGTGAAGTCAGCTCCTCGGACAATATTCTGCCTAGTGTCAGAAGAACAGGCAGCACAATAAGGAAATATATCCCCACCATAACGTTTGGTGGATATCTAACCACGTTTCAAGCCCTACTCAGTTTGCAAATCAGCATTTGAGAGCATAATCCAGGTCATGTGTGCTCTTGTTTCTCATGTGTACTCTCAGATTTCTCCACTGGGGTTTGTGTGAAAGTCTGTCCACACCAAAAGTTTTGAAAGTGCACAAAACAGGTTACGAGTGCTCTTCAGTTTACAAATCAAACTTTGAGAGCAGAGAAATAGATTTGTAAGAAAAGATTTAAGAGTGAGGGAAGATCCTCGCTGCTCACTCAAATCATTTGTCACACTCATGATTCTGTCCTCTCTATTAAATCTGATTCTGCTCTTACAGAAATCTAAGAGTGCAGAATCAGAAATGAGAGCATGCGTGGCCTGGATTATGCTCTCAAATCTGTATTTGCACTTACAAATCTGTGTCTAGGTGCTCTCAAATGCTGATTTGCTGAGTAGTGCTTGAAATGTGGTTAGAGATCCCCTAAACATTATGGTGGGGATCTACTTTCATAACACAGCACCTGTTATGAGCTAAATGTACCAAACCAATGAGAAGCAACAACATGTTGTGATGTTGCTTGAATGACAGCAGCTCATCAGTATCTAAACTGCTTCATTACTTTTTTATTATTATTGTCACATTTATATCAGTGAAGCTAAATGCTAGACACAGCTCCTTGTATAACACAGTACAGCTGAACAGTGGGCAGCTGTGGCTTAGGAGGTCGAGAGGGTCGTTTCCTAACCGGAGGATTAGTGGTTCGATTCCCGGCTCGTCGGGTCAACGTGTCCTTAAGCAAGACACTGAACCCCCAGTTGCTCCTGGTTTGGGAGTGTGAATGGGTAAATGGCCAAATAGTGTGAAAGTGCTTTGAGTGTGCTGTAAAGCATAGAAAGATGCTATACAAAATATAAGACCAACAGTAGCACCTGCTTCGAAATGCCTTGTGTTTCATTGATTTCTAATATTATCAATTATTTATAGGTGTCCAGTTTCACCTTCAAGTGCTGCAACTCAGACCTATGTAACTCCGCCCCTTCATCTGCAATGAGTTCTCTGATTGGTCTGCTGGCCTCTGTGCTGGTCATGTGGTGGTGCCTCCAATGAAGAGGAAGCAGTGGCTCTGTAACACCCCCCAGTGTCTGGAAACAGAGCAGCTTCTTTAACACTGTTTTATCTAACACTAATTACTTTCATACAGTCGTCTCATTCAGACATCTGATCATCAGTTAAGAGAAATACAAATATTTCATCATGGTATTGGTGATCAATAAAGGTTCTGGTCTCTGTCACTTTATGAACATGTGAAAAAATAATTACATTTCACCAAAGAATATGATTAACATAAAAAATCTCAGATTTGTCACTGTTACATTGTTGATCTTTATATGAACAGCTTCAGTTGCTGATTAATCAGTCATTAAAAATTAACCTTTCTCACTTTGCAAAATTGTTGTTACAAAAATTTTTTTCATACAAGTATTTATAAGATGAAACAAAACATTTTGTCAGGTCTGAAATGTCTGATTAAACATTTAAATATTCAGACCCCATCACACTAAGAATATTTGTGAGGGTTACTTGATCATTAAATATTAGAATATTTCTGTCTGTCACAGTATTTATGTGATGTGAAGTAAATCTGGACAATTTGTCTGACATGTAAACATTTACATTTTTTCATTTGTTCACAAACATTTCACTGGTGATTGATTGAAAATGACAAAGATGTCTGTCACATTATCAATATATTTATATCAAAAGACAGTATTATCATTACAGAACAATTACCTGGATGTTAGGCGCAGTTAGGTTTTTTCTAAAGAGCCAGGGTTCACAGGGCTGAATATCCCTGATTTATAATCTGATTGTGTTTTAACTCAGAACTGAATTATCTGTTTTTAATCAGTCTAATGCACCTGATGTTTTTGGTTTTGGTAAAAAAGTAAAAACAGAAGTGAATGAGAATAGATATTTTTCTGAAAATTTCCTAAAGTCTCTTCACTCTTTAACTCTGTTTGAAATTAATAAGTTCAGCACTGACCTAAAGCAAGCTTTAAATGCCTGTAAGTGACCACTTAATAAATAAATGTTTGCACACTAGTAACAGATTCATTATTTATTTTACTTATTTAGTTTGTAGTTTTTACAGTGTAGAGTTGTAGCTTGTGTTTGAGTTATCTGTAGTGTTTTATAGTGTAGTTTAATATTTTTGTTCAGTGATGCATTTTTGTGCATGTTAGACTTTTTAAAGGTGTACTTTTATATTTATACAGTATATTTTTTTAGTGTACACTTTTATCCACAGTATAGTAATTAAGTAGTGCAATATTTTTAGTCATTTTTGTAGTGTAGTCTGATTTTTTACTGTGTTTATACATCGTGTTTGTAAAGTATCGTGTTTTTTTTTTACAGTACAGTGAATGTATCACTTTGCTCTGCAACACTACCGGAAGCTGGCTTTGCCGACCCGGACGTTGTTTAGAGTGACACCGTGCCTGGTGTGTCTCATTTGAAAATAGTCCGGGTTTATTATCGAACGACCTGAGATGTAATGTTTTCCCCTCCTCAATAAACAACGTTTTAAGGTATTTAATTGTTTGTCTTTCTTTTTAAAGGAAAGCCCTTTATTTATACTAGTGTTTATGTTAGGTTTTAAGCATGAAAACTGCGAATTTTAATCTGAGTGGATGAATTAAAACGCAAATGAATTAGCATTTAGCTGTTGCACTATCGGGGTTGTGCTAAGATATGTACAGCGATTTCTTTTAATATTGCGGAATTGGTTGTATTTAAACTTTTGTCTTCACACTGACAGCGAGAAACGTGTGAAAAATGCTCTCGGTTAGTTTCCTCTTCATTTTTTGGAATTTTATTTTGTAGACTACATAACGAATCATGGCTTAAATGCAGCTTTATTTCTATGGCGAATGCCATTTAAATAGCTTTACTATGCGGAGAATATTTTCGCTTTATTGTCATTGTTGTCCAAGTATTTCATTAGTAGCCGTTAGATGGAGAGGTTTAGAAACCTGGGCATCGATATTGATGAGGTTCCTCATGTTAATCGTGAACAGTGTCTTGAATATAAGGAAAACTAGCGCCCCTCGTTTCTTTTTATAAACAATTGTTCATTAAATCATCTGTCTGAAATTGTTGTTTTTCTTCTGGACATCATCATAAGGTTAAAGTTCCTGGTTGGTTTCTGTTTTCAGTTATAACGGCTGCTAAACAGCAGGAAATCATGGCTCACATCACTATCAACCAGTACCTGCAGCAGGTAATCTCTGTCCTCTTGTTAGAATCTAGAAGAACACAAGGTTTAATGATAATGGCAGGCATGATTATAGAGTGTTTCTACCATATGACCTCAAGGAGCATCGTAATATTTACTCATTCACATTAACCTGTAGAGTAATGTCTCCTACAGGTTTATGAGGCCATCGACAACCATGAGGGTTTGTTCTGTGCCGAGCTGCTCTCCTTCAAACATCCACACGTTGCCAACCCTCGACTCCAGGTGAGGCTCTGCCTACTCAGGTACTCGCACACAGCTCAGCACTGCTAGGATATGGCCTCATCTGTGTGTATGTTTCAGCTGGCCAGTCCAGAAGAAAAGTGTCAGCAGCTTTTGGAGCCACCTTACGATGAGATGGTCGCAGCTCATCTCAGGTACTGTGTGATGGAGAAGGTACTGTGCCATCAATGCAGTGTCAGGCAGGAGCTAAAGAGTTCAGTGGCATGTCAGTCAACAGTTGAACCTGTGCTTTACATCCAGCTCAAGGTGCTGCAGGTAACCATATCAACAGCACTGCCTGAACCACATGTGTATGTGTGTTACAGGTGTACCTATGCTGTGGCCAATCATGACTTTGTCGAAGCCTACAAGTTCCAGACTCTTGTCGTTCAATATCCTTCATGATGAAAACACACAATGAAACATTTTCACACCCTGTAAACTATAAAACACACATTGTCATTGTCTTTGACACCCTGTAAACTATAAAACACACATTACATCATCTTTGTCCATCAATCAGTCAGTCTTGCTCCTTGACATATCACATCCTTCCTGAGGGCATTCCAGTCCCATAAAGAGGAGAATTGGTGAGTCCAGAGTAAAGGAACCGTTCGACATGTCATGAAATCATCTTGTTCGTATAAACTGTGGCTGAAGCTGATGTGAACGTGCTGTCGGTGAACACATCACTATTTGCTTGTGGTTTCAGGGCTCTGCCTGTGATGTTCGCTGTCACTCTGGATCTTAGGATATTCGCCAACAATGTAAAAAAAAACCTCTCTGACAAGGAATAAGTTAAACATTTATTCTTGGAAATGCTCAAAAATTGTTTTCTTTATACATGAAAATTATATTTTTGTAAAAACAGTAAAATAGTTGTGTGTGTTCAGGCAGAGCAACAGCTGCAGAAGAAAGGTAAAGGTCAACCTGGAGAGATGTTGGAGAAAGCAGCCGAGCAGCTGATGAGTTGCTTCAGAGTGTGTGCCAGTGACAAGTCAGTACACTGAACACACATATATAGATACATTATACTTGTATCCATGCACACACTCAAAGAAACAGAGAAGCCTATGTTTTGTATCAGCGTCGTAGAACACAGAAACTTTGAATAATTCCACTGTGTTTTTAATGTCTGCAGTCGAGCTGGGATTGAGGACTCAAAGAAGTGGGGCATGATGTTTTTGAGCAATCAGCTCTTCAAGATCTACTTTAAGGTCTGAATCACTGATCAATCATTATTGACTAAAACTGATTATGGCTGAGTGTTACTCTAACGCCGTGGTTCTCAAAGTGTGGGGCGCGCCCCACTAGTGGGGAATAAAGACACGACAGGTGGGTGCAATGAATGGAAAAAATTAGAAATGGGTCATTAATACAAGTAAATTAAAATGACATCAGTTCTGGGCCCCGGAGAAAAAAGTGGAACCATAGTGCAACAATAACGGTTTACTGTCGGCATGTTAACTGCCACGAAACAATATGAGGAAACTATGACACAGAGGGCCAATAGTGTACGTAGTGGGCATAATAACATAAATGGATAAATTTGTTACATGGACCACAAAAAAAGCAGGCGATTCAGCGCAAGCAGACAAAGAAACAACAGGCAGTAGCCTTATCAACCAAAAAGCCAGCTGTAAAGAAAATATGATGAAGCCCATCTTGCGCTTGGATTCACGGTGGGAATGGTGGGGGCAGAAGAGGAGCAGGAAAATTGCATGGTAAAATCTGCATCAGTGAACAGCAAAGCACAAATGGCTTCATTCAAAGTTGCATAGAGAATTGCACAGTGCATAAAACCACACACAATTGCTGAGCAGCTCATTCTCCCTGCTGCTGTAGACATGGTGTTGATTATGCTGGATGAGACAAGTGCTGCAAAATTGAAAACTATGCCTCTGTCAAACGATACAGTTGCACTTATATTTTATCTGTTTTGAACTTGGTGTTATTTGATATTTCAATACATTTGAAATTTAAAAATTGGCCGATTTGTTATTTTTTGACAAGTGGGGCTTGAAAATTCGCCTACCCTCTTAAGTGGGGAATGACAGAAAATGTTTGAGAACCACTGCTCTAACGTCAGTATTGAGAGAATAAAATGGGCCCTGTGAGAAAATAAGGCTTTGAGAATAAAGTTGTAGTTGTAAGAAGAAAGTCACAATGTTCTGACAAAAGTTATAATTTAAAATAGTAAGTTATACATGTAAAATTCTTACTATTTATTACAAAAATCAGTTTTTTCCCTCTTTATGTTGGCCTAATGTAATAATTGATAATGTGGCTTTTGTGATTTGCTGATCACCTGATCATGTCGGCCTCATATAAGTGTTAATTCTCATGTTTTGAAAATAAGGAGCAAAATACATTTGATTGAAATGTTTGTAAAGCGTGGTTTGAATCTGAGCAGCAACACTGTTCTTTGGCATATGCAAGAAAACTTGATTATATATTGATGTTGTGATGACACAGATCAATAAGCTGCACCTATGTAAGCCTCTGATCAGAGCCATCGACAGCTCGAACCTGAAGAACGACTACAGTCCTGCTCAGAAAGTCACCTACAAATACTACGTGGGCCGAAAAGCCATGTTTGATAGTGACTTCAAACTAGGTAAGACTACTGCAGTACTACTCCACTGATACTGCTGCCTCTCCATGACTTCCTGTCTTTTCTGCTTCTGTACTCTTCCCCAAACAGGCCCAGTTTCACAAAGACTCTTAGCCTAACCAATGGACTTGAGATAGAAGTTTAGATGCATCTTAAGTAGGACTAACCAGCTTTTTTTCAAACTAACAAACAGCATCAAACATTTCACTTCACTGAAGGATTTAAGAGTTACAGGATATTTTACTGGGAGGGTTCAGTGAAGAATCTAACAGTACGACAAAACCCAGTAAAAACACTTAAGCTCTTCACTGCTCGGCAAACCACTAATGATGAGCGCTGTTCTCCTCCTCTGTTACCATGAGAATGTACTAGCTGGGGGGTAAGGCGGCTAACTGTTAAGGCTTAAAATAAAAAATAAAAAAACCCTGCCTGACTTATAAAGTTACACTTATCCAACATTACAAACCCGTCTAAAATGTCTTTGTGAAACCAGTCCCAAGAGCATTCTGTTGCTGCCAGGCAGAAACCTTTTGGAGCATTGAGAGTATTGAACAACTAGCAGTTCATCTAAACTGAGGCTTGAGAACAACAGCTACACAGTTAAAGCTGACAAACTGGTACCGTCATTCCTGAGATTGGTCGGCTTCAGAGCACAAAATAATCGTTTTAAAGGTGAAAACCACAGTTATTGTTTATGGAAGGCTCAAACAGAGACAAGATTTATCAAGATAGACTTAAAAATATAAAAAAAAATGTTTTGAAACCAAATCTGGTTTTGTCTTTGCAGCGGAGGAGTTTCTGTCCTACGCCTTCCACCACTGTCATCGTTCTAGTCAGAAGAACAAGAGGATGATTCTCATCTACCTGCTGCCTGTCAAGATGCTTCTAGTTAGTAACTCAGTTTGTCACATCTCAAATGCGTTTACACCAGTTCAGATCAAGTAGATTGAGATCACATCAGATTAGATCCTAATTACATCATGTGAATTGAGTTTACACTGGCTTAATTTAAAATTACATCCTGATAAAATGTATTTACACTTGTTTAAATCCCGATTACATCCAGTGAAATGAGTTTAAATTGGTGTAACATCTGATAAAGTGAGTTTACGTTGGGTGAGACAATGATTACAACCAGTTTATATCTAGTTTGAATAAAAGTGCCCATTTTACACCCAATTCTCAGCACTGGTGCATCATGGGAATGCTATTAGTATGACTGCAGCTTGTTGCCGGTGTTTCAGGGTCACATGCCAACTCATCAACTCCTGAGGAAGTACGACTTGATGCAGTTTGCTGACGTCACCAAAGCTGTTGGGTAAGCAGAGGTTACTATGACAGGAAGTGGCATCACGTTGTGAAGGTGATCTCACAGGTGACGTCTCTATTTGTCAGTGAAGGGAACCTGCTGCTGCTGAATGAGGCTCTGTCCAAACATGAGACCTTCTTCATCCGCTGTGGCATCTTCCTCATCCTGGAGAAGCTTAAGATCATCACCTACAGGAACCTCTTCAAGAAAGTGTGAGCTGGAGATCTCAGGCATTACATCCAGACACCAACTCACCTTCACCTGAACACAGCCACTTCGACTTTAGATTTAATTACACTGAAACTCAGCCTTCTGGTGTTTAGATTTTTGGCTCCATCCTGAAATTCTCTCTCCAAGTTTTAGATAATGTGTGTGTGGGTTTCTTTTTTTTTGGTTTTTAGTTGTTTTAGCTCTGGTGTTTTATACTCGCTGGTATTGGTCCTAAGGTTTTAGTACTATCAGCTCCAAATGTGCAAATACAGCTTTTTCTGAGGAAACACAACATTTTTCCTGTTCTGTAAAGTTGATTATTACAGGGAGTGTTTAATTTTGCTGCTTTAATGCAATGAAATTTGGCATGTAGTGACAGCTGTCTGCTAACTTCTCGCGCTGCACATATTGTAGTTAAGGTTTGGAGCTGTTTGTTGGAAACGGCCTCCCATGTATCCTGAGGAAGAAACCTGCCCCCCAGTGCAGCGGTGCAGCTCACTGGGGGAGTTTAATAGCTGGTGGACAACAGTGGAGGTCTATGGCACAGAGCGATAAGCTGAACCAGGGTCTGGACTCACACACATTACGGGGAGGATACCACATTCATGGTGCCGCTGGTCTCTGGACGGGGTTTGTGCAGAATATCACAAACATATTAAATGATTGGTTCTATCCTTGGACCCCTGGACACCTCCCAAACCTACTGTGCTTCTGAGTCTGGGGGTTCACCCCTGACCATTTGTTTAGAGCCATGTTTCATTCCAGAGTTTTTTTGTCCCTATATGGTAGTTGTGCATCATTGTTTTGACATTAATTCTTTATTGCTCTGATTTTAGCTCTGGTTTCATAATTTGATGGTGCTGACTGTAATGTTTTGAAGCTTTTTTCTTTTACCCTTGTACTTTTATATTTTTGACCCTACATTTTAAACATCTAGTGTGAGCCTTCAGCTTTAAGTGGACACATGTTTAGCCACAGGGTGACACCTGGTTGACCCCGGCTAACCTCTGTCTGCAGGTATCTGCTGCTGAGGACTCACCAGCTGCCACTGGATGCCTTCCTGGTGGCTCTTAGGATGATGCAGGTGGAGGATGTCGACATTGACGAGGTGCAGTGTATCCTGGCCAACCTCATTTACATGGTGAGGTCACACACACAGAGTCACACCTCAATACTGCCTGGAAGTGAAGACAGGAAGTCGACCAGCACTGTGTTCTTCCTCTGTTTCAGGGTCATATCAAAGGTTACATCTCCCATCAGCACCAGAAGCTCGTGGTCAGTAAACAGAATCCATTCCCTCCTCTCTCCTCAGTCTCCTAGACTGTTACCCACAATTCCCTCTGGCTGTGACCCCTCCATAGGCCTTCCTGGAACTTTTTCCCATTCAATTAATTTTTAAATTTTGTACTATAAAGAACTGTTGAATAAAACTGCTGCCAGTTTGTACCTGACTTGTCGGACTGATTAATGATGCACTTGCTGTTTGATTAATACAAACCTGATGATGTCGGTCACCACTGCCTGGGTTCCCTGGAACATTTGGACTGTGCATTGTACTCGTGTCTTTAATTTATGGACAGCTGAAATTATTTTGGTGCAGCTGCTGTCACATCCTTTTAAGTAACATTAAAGTATATTTTTATTATTCATTTCAGCTACACACATTCAGTTTAACAGTGAATTTATTGATCAGGTGAATTTTACATGCCATTTAAACAGTACAAATGCAAACTCCTGCCAGAGAATATTTTCTAAGTGTCATTATTAATTTTACAGTCTATAAAATTTCAAGTCTAGATTAAAACAAATTGTTCAGGGCCAGAGCTTTGGTAAAATGTATTTTATTTCAGCCCAGTACTCTGAACAGTTTTGTATTGTGGCTGTAAATGTAAGATGGGGATTTTGTTTTGCCGTTAAAAGCAGAAAACCTCCCTTTGGTTGTACTTACAGTTGAAACTCTTTTTGTTAGTAAAATTAACCCTGGTCTAAGCATGTGAAACCACCAGTCTGGTCCCTGTTGGTGCTTGGTCTTTTTAAAGAGTTTTAAAGATGGCGGTGGCTGGTGGGTTGTTAGTGATTCTCAGGATGCTCGCTGAATCGGGAGGACATGCGGTCCTCAGCCACCTTCAACCTCAGTTTGATCCAATTCAGGTAACGGGACAGTTTGGTGAACACCAGGCTGTCATCGCCGTCGCAGCCTGCAGACGATGAGATCATCAGCCCGGTCAGAAACGCTGTCCCCTGCTCCACCGTGGCAACAGGCGACCCTGGCAACATACCGCCACATCGCCTGACGCTGCCTTCTGACCTCAACTTGGTGCCATTTTGTGTAATGCTGCCTTTGTGATTTTCTGCTCCATTTGGTGTCCCCTGGGTTCCAGTTTGACTCCTCTGGGTCTGATTCTGCCTCCTGTTCATTATATGTCCATCAAGCCCTCCCTGTGTACCATTTTGGGTCTCTGGAGGTTGGGTTAGGTTTCTCTGGGCTACATTTTGGTTCCCTAAAGGCTCAGTCAGCCTCTTGCCTCCATAATGGTTCCACACAGGTCCACTTTGCTGCCTCTGGGCCTCCGTTCTTTTCCCTGAAAGAACATTTGTTCTCCCCTCAGAGTCATTTTGGCTCCCCATCTGTCCATCTGGGCTCTTCTGGGCTCCATTTTGCCTCCTCATGCAGAACATTTTGTTTGTAAGTGGATGTGAAACATTCAGCTGGATCCGACACTCATCCAGCATCATGTAGACCAGGTCCTGGTTTGGTCTGCCCCCCTGCTGCTCAACGACACCTGTCCTCCCAGAATGCATCAGGATGTTTTCACTGAAGTCCTTTGTGGGAAGGCACAGGTGTGTGAGGGCTGAGCTAAAGGGGAGGGGGTTAGCCAGCTCGAGGAGGGCAAGGTCATTGTCATGGTGATCTGCACGGTAACGGTCGTGAACATACAGAGCCTGGACAGGAACAAGGATCTTGTCGTTGCCTAGGGGATGAGAAATATTCTTTAAAATAAGATTTTTTGGCTGACCTTTATTATGAAGTTGAAAAGAGCTTTTTCATGCTTTGATAAAAGAAGAAAATGTGACTGCTACAAAGTCAACAAAACATACTTTGTTTTTAATGATTTATTATTATTATAATGGTTTTAGAACTTTTCATGTGGTAAAAAAAAAACTTTAAACTGATCAAATGGCATCAAAGCCAGCTTTTTAGTTAAGGATGAAAATTCAGCGATTGCTTTTATGCTATTTAAACAATCCCTTCAGTTGTGTACATAAGCCATTTAAAATGCAATTAAAATCCAATAAAATTTTATTAATCCCTAAATTGAGGTGACTGTGCACTTTTAGTTGAAGGATCCTTTTAAGATACAAAGTAAGAAGTAACCAATTTTATTTTATTTTTCAGGGGTATGTTTCCCAAAACAACAAAAACATAATTTATGCAAAAAATCCATTTGCAACCCCTATAATGTGTTCTAATCAATAAATTTATCTATTCATTAAACAAAAATTTGGAAGCAACCCCTGATTTTGTATTTTTGTTGAAATATTAATATTGTTTTATCTTACAAATGAATGGGTAATTGTTATTTTGTACATTTTAAGGTTTGTTTTCTTTTTAAAATCCCTCAGTGCATAAAAACTTTTAAAATGTTATTAATTACTTGAGTATTGATTAGGACTTCCCTAAAATCTTACAGGAAAATATTTTCATGGTCACATACTTCGGCTATTTGTATCTGTGGTTTTATGGTGTTTGGTTAATAAAGTTCAGTACCAGTGGCCACAAAGAAGTTGGAGGGACTGGGGTTAGACTCTGAGTCCAGGAGGCAGTGGGCAGCGGTCAGGATGGTGCGTTGACCCAGCACCACTCCACCACACACCTCCACCGCTTTGCTGTTCAGTAGGGACACCTGAGGTAGAAAACAAACACACCAGATATTTGTAATGTTTGTTTTTTTAATCAGTCTTACCAGGTTTAACTCAAACAAGACATCTTGCTTGTTGCATCCTTCATGCTAATCATGATTAGCTGTTGATCTAGTGTACAGTTTGTCTGGAGGGTGGTGCTACAGGAAACATGGTGGAGTCAGTAACAAGGGTTCGTCCTCTAAGGAGCGGGACTCAGAGCTGGCCTGTGGGTTTTCAGGCAGCTTGGACCTAGACTGAATGAAATATAATACTTTGCTGTGATTTGCTGAAAGGGCCTTACCTGCCAGGGACATTTTCCATGGTGACAAATTGATGCAGTGTTGTTAAACCTGCCAGGAAGTCTTCCACATGGAAACTCCACTGAGGACACAAAGACATCATTAGTGCACCAGTCTGAACTGGTTTGTTAATATGATGTTTTTGATGTTTAGAGTGGAATCAGACCTTGAGGCAGACAGGTACGTTTGTCGCTCTGCAGTTTGAATCCTGGCAGGCAGGAGCAGGTGAAGGAGTTGCGGGATGCCGTGCACAGCTGGTGGCAGGCTGTTGGACCTTCAGTCGGACACTCTGTGATTTCTGGAACACCTTAAATATTTAATAAACAATAAAGTCCTCCTTGTTTACAAAACGTCCACATTTCAGGTGTGACTAAATGAATATGATGTATGAAACAAACCAGGGCCTTTAACAGACTGTTCAAATTCAAAATATGGCCCTAACTGAAGGATAAAGGTAAACATTCCTGACGTTTACTCATAGACATAAGCAGTAAAACCAAATGATCCTTTTGGGTTAAAATACTCTTAAAGTAGGTTTGAAGTAGATCCTCCATGGCTGGGGTTCAGATAGAGCCGAGCACACCCACTTTTTCTGGCTTATAATAATAATACAGTATGTTAGCTGAAGCAGTACCAGTAAGGATACAGTGGTCATAGTCAATTATTTACATGTGAACATGTGATAAGATGTTACACCATTTCATTTTATGTCAGAGTTGGACCTGAGATATGTCACTTTGTTTTGGTCTTGGTCAGTCAGAAGTGATTTCCTGCTCTGAGACACTCCGTTAACATGGGCGTACATCTGAAAACCCCTGAGACTGAATGGGTAAATTTCTGAGGATCCCCTGAACATAGCATGGGTTCTGTGACCTGTGCCAACCTGGCCAGGTGACATGTGGCGTGGGGAGTGGGCGCTTCAGGTTCTTTGGTGCTCCCTTTTCACAGACTGGTCCATAGTGGGGGCTGGTGCAGGAGCAGTAGAACCCTCCAACCTTGTCAGTGCAGTTGCCCCCATGGAGGCAGGGATTGGGCTGGCACTGGTCCCCGTCTGGCCATTAGGGAACCAGGAAATGAACAGTTTGGTGAAATAAATACAATTAAAATTCATAATGTCAATGAAGTATTGTAAAAGTCATAAAGAGCACACGCTCATTATACGGTAAAATAATTATGACAAAGTGATAGTAATGCCATCAGTACTTCAGGGAATCATCAACCTGTCAATTGTAATGATCACACATTAATTAATATTTCAGTTATATAGTGACTCCAATTATTAATTTTACTTATTTGAATTGTTTATTTAACTGATAATTGGAATCCTGTTTATTTTTATTTATTCCCACTTTTGATTTCACCATGGATTGTTTTTCCTTCAGTTTGTTTTGTCCCTAAATATGTTGGTGTGCTTGTTTGAGTTTTTGTGCATTTTCATTTCATTAATTAAACATTTTTATTAGGTGACACCCAGTAAAACTCACCAATGTAAAACACCCAGAAGTCGATCTGTCGAGACAAACATGGCAGTTAAAACCAGAACCAGTTGAACTTTTTTGTTATAACAGTCAAACGGAGAGAAATCGTTCTTCACACAGATGTGATCTAGACATGAGTCTGACCGTCTTTTTGGTGTCCTCAAAGTACTCTCGGGCCTCCTCAAAGTTGCACAGCTCCTCGTAGCATTCCCTTTCCAGGTTCCCCTGCAGGATCTCCTCTAACAGGAACATGTTGGCCCGTCTGGACCTGAGGAACATGCTGTGGGCCGGTGGAGCCTGATGAAACCCTAACCAAACAAATATCATAAGTCACAGCTATGACATAATAAATAAGAATTATAATAAAATGTGATTTTACTGCAGCTTACAGCCATTATTATAACAAGCTGGTTAGTTGTCTGTATTACTGTACTATAATATAGAATTTGTAGTATGATACATTTTTCATATTTCTGCCAAACTCATAATTATGATAAGGTAAGATTGTTGTGTCAAACATGCTTGAGTAAACAGTAAACATAAAAATCATCCAAACAAATATGCAGAAATGAAAATGAATAATAATTGAATAACAAAGTGCCCATGTGGAAATTGAGATAATCAGCATATAATAGTAATAATACTACAAAAAATAATGATACTTATGTGACGTGTTATTACAATATGATCTGTCAATGTTATAATTATTCAGTCATAATTATAACATAGTAATTATGATACTGAGTCATGATTGTTACATGTAAGCCACAATTCACAGAGTCATGATTTTAGACAAACCTTGTCTGTACTGAACTGAGTCATAATTATGTTGCACTACATCCAAGACCTTTGTATTCCTGGTAATTCATATTAAGTCATAGTTATGCCATTCATTGTTGTAGTTGCAGTATATTATTTCATACTTGTGACCTGACAACAACGCAAGTCAGACTTTGAGTGCAGTTATTGTTACTGGGTCATGATTACAACACACTGAGTGCAGGACTGGTTAAAAAACCAAGCTACAAACTTGTACAGAGTGTGACATGTTTGTGGCACAAATAGAAAATCAAACATTTGTAATTGAACCTAGAACATTTATGGAGCCTTCTAAAATCTGCCTTATGATTTAGCTGTTTCTTTTATCAGTTAGGAGCTGTTTCCCATAAAAATAATCCAGCCTCACTCTACCACATCAACTATGAACTCACTGCAACTGCAATTAGTCAGAACAAACACTCTAGAGGTCAAAGTTCACATGTCTTACCTTCTCCTTGGCTGAGGACATGAAGGAAGCAGTGAAGGAGGTAAAGAAACAGAACATATGCTCGGCAACAAACCGTCATGATGTTGACTGCCATGACACTGACTTCACTGCAACCACACACCCACACAAACACACACATATACACACACACACACACTCATGAGTCATAACCCATTCATTCTACAAGACACATAATGGGAAATTTTCTTAAGTCCTAATTTTTTAAATTAATTTATTTATTTATTGGTCTGTTACACTGAGAATAAAAAATGTAAAAAGTGTCCATATCACTGTGTGAAAAGCCCCAACAGAACTCCAATAGAAATGTAATCAAAAATAAAAGTCAGGGTGTTTAGAGGCTAACTTGTGCAGTGATTACACACATTTTTAAGAAATCTGGTCTGTTAAGATCCCTTTGTCTTTTCACAGGAGTCCAATTTTCAGTTGTGCACGTCGCATCTGCATCTATAAAGAGTTAAAAGAAATAGTCCTGGTTCCAGTAAACAGTCTGTTTGTGCAGTGGACTCTGGTCTATGCTCTGTCCTCAGATCATGCAAAACAAGCAGCAAGTCTGACCTCTGAAACTTCACTGTTCGTCAGCTTTGGTTATTTGAGGTCAACAACACAAAATTTCATCACTGGGATTAATCATTTGAAATGACACAAATCACCCTCCAGATAAAATAATAAATTTGATTAAAAAAATAGAAGCTGAACTGGTGTTGTTACGGGACTGAACTGTATTACAAGAAGTTTCAGGGTTTAAGAACCCAAAAACCAAAAAGCTCACAAAGGTCTATAATGATTTACCTGAGAAGTGATGGGAGTTGTGAATTATTTAAATAGCCTGATGCTGGTAGTTATTCAAAAAGCCATCAGGAAAATAATGCTTCTTTTAGTTGTATTCACAAACATTATTAAGGTAGTTTGACAAATCAAACTGTAGTTTCACAGTCAAGATCAGTTACTAGCCTTTTCTGAACCTTTTCAACCTCATGTTCAGCTCAAAGTGATGAGTTCAAATGTTTAGTCTTATCTGACCAGCAGTCTTCATATCTAATATAGTAGCCTAAATACTGTATAGTATAAAAAAGCTGAAACATGCAATATTTTTTTCTTCACAGAAACACCATGCATCACACTGTTGTAGTATTATTTCTTTATTTGTATTTCATTCAGCTCAGAAAGCTAATTTCAGGCACTGACTGTTAAAAAATACAAATTCTCTCCTACACAAAGTTCTTCCAGTTCCAAACTGCACAGACAAGTGTTTTATTTGAAGAACCCCACCAGGAATTCTTGACACTGCCAGTTGGATGATGAGTAGGAAGCTGTTTGCTAACATGTTAGACACAAATACTTAATACACAAAGGTGATTATGCCTCAGATATTGTGTTTTCAGCTTGTTCTGCCAAAAAAATGGATACAACTTTTTGGTAACAGTAGATCTCAAAGTGTGGCTTATCTCTACTCAGTCAGGATGATATTTGAAGAGGAATTCGACCAATGAGCGCTGTCTTACAGCGTCAGCCTCTTGATCGGGCCACGATGCCTCTTCATCCGTGTGGCGCTCTTCTCTTTGGGCACCAGCCTGTCTATGCCATCTCGGATCCAGCGGATGTACTTGGACACCTGGGTGTAGACGCCATATTTACCTCTGCGTGCGCAGCCTTCGCCCCAGCTCACGATGCCAGTGATAAAATAGGTGTTGCGGTAGCGCGTGACGTGCGGCCCTCCGCTGTCGCCCTGGCACGCATCTTTGGCTATTGTGTGGTAGCCGGCACAGAACATGCGGGTGGAGATGCGCAGCGGAGTGGACTCAATGCATTTGACCCGATCCACGTAGGGAACACTGAGGCGCTGCAGGATGGTGGACGGCTGCAGGCGCTCGCCTAGACGGCCAAATCCGCTGACGATGCCTTCCGGCTCCTGCATCAGCACCTGCAAGACGACATAAGAAATGTAACTGGCTGAATGTTTTCTCTTGTGGTCTTAAAACAATCATTTAACATTTTGGGAATTTCAACACAAATGTTACATTATTCGATTTCTTGCTGGTCGTGAGATGCCATCATTGATACCACGGCTCTGTGTGTGATCAGCCGATATCTTATCTTATAAAGACTGGAAACAAAGGGGAACGGCTGGCCTGGTCCTGTCCAAAGGTAACAAAATCCACCCACCAGCACCTAGTTTAGTTTTACAGTGCTCTGACTGGTCTGGACGTTCACCTTTTCAGCAAAATCTTGCTCAGGGATGCAGGCGGGGAGGATGAACTTGGTGAACTTGATGGGCGTGGTTAATTTGATGAGCGCGATGTCATTCAGGTAAGTGTCCGGTTTGTATTTATTGTGGGTGATAATAGTTTCCACGTAGTGGGTAGCTTCATTTCCATCCTCCACCAATGTGTCAAACTCACCTGAAAGTACAGAAAAAAATTTATATTTTTGCTAAAATAGAATTTGGTGAAGGAATTCACAGTCATCACTATCACTGTGTGAGAAGTAAACCCAAAATCTAACATTTGCTTAATAGTTTCCTGCAGGCAAAGATGTTATCTCATTATCATGAAGAAAATCTTGAAATTATTAAATCATCCATGATATAAGATAGTAATTCCAAAAAAGGTAAATAATCTCATAAATGCAAAGTAAATCTGCATCACATAATTACGAAAAAATTACCACATAATCTCTTAGATTAGGCCACAAAAATCGTAACTCATTTACAAAAACTATCATGTAATTATGTAATTTTCATAATTCAGAAATTCATTTTCATCAATCATATGATGCTAAGTCATAATTACAATATATATAGACTATATAGACCAAGATAGTGTATTTCTATGTGACTGTAATTTACTGCAGTTGATTCACTGATTTTGCTTTTAAATACATCCTTTACTCGATTCATCTGTACCTGAAACGCATCATGCCAGCTTGTGATTGGACCATCAGACCTACCGAGCTTGACATACATGTAGCGTGAGTGGTTCATGCAGTGGGCAGCAGTCAGGATGATGTATTCATTGAGGATGGTTCCTCCACAGAATCCTTGGTTGTCTTCAGTCATGAGCAGAGCCTACAAAAATGAGATGGCACCAAAAACTGTTAATATTACACAAACTCTGTAATTATGGACTTCCAGATGTTTCCCAGATGTATGTTCATGTAGAGATAATAATGGACACTTGTACAGTAATGGATTCCCATATGTCCTCATACAGGCAAAAAGGTTTCAGGACAATAAGGGACACACTGATAATAACTGACTTATAGTGTCCATGTACTGTAGAGACATCACTGGATTCCTGAAGAAGTACAGGTACCCCAGTGTCCAGATAGACACAGTAATGGACTCTGCCATGAATTTTTTTGGATCTATCTTGCTCCATACCTTTTTATACCAGGACATCTCATCACTGCAATAAAAAGGTTGTTGTAGAAAAGAAAGTGTCTCCACCTGCCATGGACATTCTCCTGGTGGACAGTCCTCTCCATTGACGATGCGAGTAAACTTTGCCATTTGGGACTTGAGTGTATCCTCTAAAACATATTTCTGCACAATTTGACTGTTGCTGCTGTTCCCAGAAGGTGAGGACTTGGAGAGATGAGCAGTGTCATTGTGCTTGGTGGAGCTGGTGTTGTGGTCCAGCAGGTTCAATGTGGAAGAATTCCCTGTGGTTGTGTTCTGCCGCTCGTATATGAAAACTGTCCGGATGTCTCCGGTGAAGATGGCACCACATTTGAAGGTTTCTGCAAGAGTTGATGTTGAGAGGTCAGGGTTTGTACTCCCAAAGAATTAATAACTGAAAAGATATCCTGGCTTTTTGATTTGATTCTAACAACAGAGCTATGCCAACTGACTTTAGATGGTTCTTGTATGTATTACAGTATGTCCTGATGGTGCTCCTACAGGAACAGCTAGAGAGTCACCACAACCTTTAGGATGCTTCATCTGAAAACCACGTATGTGTCCAGAAAAGTTCATAGACAGTAGTTATGGTGATATCTTGCTCTTGATCATATTAGAGATACCAACATTACCATTAGGCCTCAGGAGCCTTTAATTTTCTAGGTGAAAATTATATTATTCTCAAAGTTCAACCTGTGAGGTTGATGTGGAACTGAAAAACATGGCAACTGACTTCAACAGAGCCAATAAAAGATAGTGTAGATTCCAGACTGTCTCTTACGGTTGGAGTTGCAGGATTTGTAATCTGATGCCAGGAAATATCCGTCAGCACAGGAGCAATCAACTTGTCCTTGGACCACACTGCAGAAATGCTCACAGCCGCCGTTTTTTGTCTCACAGAGCTCAGGAATAACTGCAGAGACATAGACGACACTGTCAAGACTCGATGAAAAACAAAGCACACTCCTGTCCCCAGGTTAAGATATTCATTACTGCTGGATGATTCTGCATGACACTTCTTGGCACAGTCTTTTTTAGCTCCAATATATCCACCCACCACTCCAGCATCAACACCTTGCTTTCTACCTTGCTATGTAATGGTCATTACTCAGTGTGCTGACACTGGACATGAGGAATTGTCTAGTATGATAATCATTAACAGGAATATTGTGCAGGGTGTAGCACCTAAACACCTCTCCTTGACAGAATATCAAATTACTGAAACATCTCTTTCATGAATTTATAACACTACTTCCTCTTTCAATAGGACTGAAGAGTTGCAGAAACCAAGACTGTACCGATTTCGCAGTTGAAGCCCCTGTACCCGGACTGACAGTAGCAGGTGTAGCTGCCAACCCCATCTTTGCAAACTCCTCCATGAGCACAGGGCAGTGACTCACATGCATCACCATCTGCAGGACAAAGAGAGAAGATTTAATCAGAGGAGATTCGATAAGATGCAACTTTATCAATCCCATGGACATACAGCAAAAAATCTCAAATAATCACAAACTCTGGCATCTGGTGGAGAAAGCTAGTATGGTGCAATGTCCTGGTACCAAAGAATACCCAAATATAGCATACTGTTACTCTATTAAATATCAAGATTTTTAAGATATATAGGTTGACTTACCAACATATTTGGCCCAGAATTCATCCTGAAGAGGAGACAAAATTGTTTAAAACATCTCAAATTCTCATGTTTGCATCCAAACACTGTGACAGTTTGAATGCCAAACTTGGAGATTGAAAAATTGAATTTAGTAGTGATGTGACTATCTTCATCAAAAATATTGCGAGTATTGTCTGATTAAGGTTTTGATTTCCCCGTTTTTGAGAATAAGTGCTAGTTGATCGAGTAAACTAGTAAACTTCACATCATACTTCACATCATATCAATAAATATACTAACTGCTCCTAAAACTGCAGTCTTGTTTGTCATTTTTTTGTTTCTAAACTGTTTGATAAAGAAAATGTAAATCGGACAATGTTGGTGTTGCTCTAAGTGGTGTTGACGTCATGTTTGATGGATCTAGGCTTGTGCTAAGCTAGCATAAGTTAGGCTAAGTGTTGTAGAGTGAAGCTGCAGGAGGTTAGTACAGTTTTCTTGTGGTCTTCAAAGATTTCTCGGGCCTCCTCCCAGTTGCAGTGCTCCTCGATACACTCCCTCTCCAAGTTGCCTTTTTGAATCTCCTCCAAAAAACGGCTGTTGGCTCGTCTCCAACGGGTCAGAACCTGACTGGCCGCTTTGTCGTCCAAGAAGACTGGTGGGAAAATTATTATTAGATTTTAAGATTCACTTTAATAATTTTCTCAACAAACTCAACAAATACCATGCTTTTGGTTTTGAACTTTTGGTCAAATAAATCAAGACATTTAAAGATGCTGAACTGTTGAAAGTTTAATAGGTATTTTGCACTATTTTTTGACAGTTTGTGGACAAAACATTTAATCAGTAAAACAATGTATCAATCAATGAAAATAATTAGTTGCAGCCCTAATTTCCTGGTATAAAAAAATGAAAGAAATGACCAATGAGAGGCCAGAAAGTGGCATTTGTCCAATCAGCTTTAAAGATGGGTCATCTAAGTGTCCGAGTGTCTCAGGTCTCCATTAGCAGCACTGCTGTCATGTTGACATTACACATAGCATACTAAACAAACAAAACAGGACAGAGTCAGGGGTCATCAGCCGCCAATCAACACACAGCCCCCCACCTCCCCAGAAAAACATACACTCAGTATGGTGGTGCGTCTCTTCACCCTGCTTTAACTCCATATTCTCCTTATTTGTTGTTTCTAAAGGTTTAGTCTGAATTTCAGCCAACGTACCGTGAGCGGTGACCAGGTGGAGCAACAGGAGGCTGAAAGACAGTCCGTGAAACCAAGACATGGCCCCGGGTGGCAGTGGTGGTGATTTTCAGCTGGGAAAAGCTCAGTGTGCTGAGTGGAAGTAATGGAGTCTGAATGTGGAGAGAGGGAGGGAGAGAGGAGGGGTGGCAGAGAGGGCAATGACCTGTATGGGGAGAGAGGGGGAGGGAATGCTGCTTAATCATCTGCATTAGAAACACTGAGTTCTCAAATATTCAGTTTCACTGATAAGAAGCTGCAAGACTGTGCAGAGTTACATGATTTACAGTCAGTTCACTTTGTCAACAAGACTGAGTGGCTCCTTTGGAGAACAAGTGGGAGCTGATGGAATTTGTTTTCACTGGGTACCGTAGTGTGAAACAACATATTGTGCTGTACAAGTACTGGTGTTAAATACAAATTAAGAATGTTGTTAGTCTTTCTAGAAAAATTATGTGATGCTGACATCTGTTTATGAAGTGTAACAACAATCATTTCCTAGTTTTTTCTTAAAAACTCAAACATCATGAGTGGGTATTTCATATCTGCAGCACCTTTCTCCTTTACCCTTATTAGATCAGATTCAACTTTGTGCAAAGTTCATGTCCAAACCAGCAAAATGCATTTAGACAGAAACAGCATATTTACAAATAAATAAATAAGTATATTTTGTATACATGAATACATAGAAAGTGATGGAGCAATGGTAAAAATATGTGTAATATATGAACATAAAACAGTTTACAAATTTGTGCAGCATAACTAGATTAGATTAGATTCAACTTTATTGTCATTACCAATGTACAAGTACAAGGCAATGAAATATAGTTTAGCATCTAACCAGAAGTGCAATAACAGCAATGCAGGGAGCACAGTATCTACAGTATGAACAGTCACTACTAATTTATCTATAAATATGTACAATTGATATTTACAGTAAGATATATAAGGTATTATACAATAGTCAACAGAATTTATGTATTTAAGTTACAAATAATGGATAATGTACATTAAGCTTATAAAACACTAGTGCAGTGGGATGAAATAGTGCAGAATAAGAAGATAAGTTACATGAGTGAACAGTTCGATGGATGTAAATAGTGAAAAGATAAATACACAGTATCAGCATATGAACAGTGTACAAATGAATAACAGAGCAGTATTCTGTGAGTAGAGAATGTGCAAATTAACAAATCACTTCAGTGTTACAGGTAACAGAAGCGTATTGCATTAGTCCCGGAAAGAGAGATGAGAAGGGGTGAGGTGTGTGTAGTGGTATAGAAGAATGCAGCGGGGGGGTCAACGGGAGACAGAGTTCAGTAAGGAGACAGCTGTGGGGAAGAAGCTGTTCCTGAGTCTACTGGTCTTGGTCCGGAGGCTCCTGAAACACCTCCCAGAGGGCAGGAGGTCAAGCAGTTTGTGAGCAGGGTGAGAGGAGCCATTGAGAATTCATGTTGGAGACAGCGTTCCCTGTGGACATCCTCAGTGGCTGGAAGTGGAGTTCCTGTGATGCGTTGGTCAGTTTTCCCCACCCACTGCAGCACCTTGCGATCGGAGACAGAGCAGTTTTCATACCAGACTGTGATACAGCTGGTCAGAATGCTCTTGGTGGCACAGCAGTAGAAGTTCACCAGGATGGCTGAAGACAGGTGGTTCTTCTTCGGTGTCCTCAGGAAGAAGAGGCACTGGTGAGCCTTCTTAACCAGGCTGCAGGTGTTGGTGGACAGATCCTCTGAGATGCAGGTCCCCAGGAATTTGAAGCTGGAGAAATGTTCAACAACCATGTCATTAATATGGATGGGATTGCGTGTGCCTCCTTTCTCCCTCCTGTAGTCCACAGTGAGCTCCTTGGTCTTGTTGGTGTTAAGGAGCTGGTTATTGTCAGTGCACCACACAGCCAGGTGCTGTACCTCCTCCCTGTAGGCTGACTCATCGTTGTTGCTGATGAGGCTGTTTACAGTGGTGTCGTCTTCAGACTTGATGATGGTGTTGCAGCCATGCACAGGCCTGTGCCCTGGATGAAAATGGAGTAGAGGAATGGGCTCAGCACACGGCCCTATGGTACGCTGGTGTTTGGTGTTGAGGATGATGCTGGAGGAGCAGGTGTTGTCTGACCTAACATGCTGAGTTCAGAATCCAGTTGCAGAGGGAGGTGCTGATGCCCAGGTCTCCAAGTTTGGTGGTTAATTTGGAGGGGAGGACCATGTTAAATGCTGAGCTGAAGTCCATGAACAGCATTCTTACGTAAGTACTGTTATTGTCTAGATGTCTGAGTACAGAGTGCAGTACTATGGAGACTGCATCCTCCGTGGGTGGGAGACAAGTCATTAGGCATGCCAGGACCAGGCGCTCGAAGCACTTCATGACAATGCTACAGGGCAGTAGTCATTCAGGCACGTCAGGGTGGAATGTTTTGGCACTGGCACAATAGAGGTGGTTTTAAAGCATGTTGGCACAACTGCTTGGGCGAGGGACAGGTTAAAAATGTCCATAAAGAAGCCAGCAAGCTGTCCAGCACATGCCCTGAACACTGAGTGGGTGGTGGTCTGTGAAGGGTCTGGACTTGATAGCTGTCTCCTTGTTGTCCCGGTTGAAGCAAGCAGAGAATTCATTTAGCTCATTGAGTATGGAGACATCTGTGGTTGTTGGGGTGGAGCTGCTGGGCTTGTAGTCACTGATTACCCGGATACCCTTCCACATACATCTGGGGTCAGAGTTTTTGAAGTGCTCCTCAACCTTTAGCTTGTAGCGATGCTTGGCCTTCTTGATGCCTCTCCTCAGGTTGGCCCTGGATAAGACCAAATAGCAGAAACCTTTCTAGTAGATATCCTAGTAATTAACAACTAACCACAGAAAGTTTCTAGACAGGACAAGGGGGTAACAACTGGACAAACACTTTAAATACATTTTCATACAGGGGACTAAATTGTTTCTGTGCATGGATGTAAACATCATTTACAGTCGATGTATTATCAAATCAACTGGATGTTAAAGGGTTATAAGGAGAGAAAGAGAGCTTTTTCTCCATCAGACATGTTGTTCCTTGTACACGCTGGCACAGGGAGGTGAAGGAATGTGTTTTCTCTTCTGACAGGGCTTCGCTTTCAACTGTAAGATCATGACAGGGATGACAGAGGGAGGAAGGCAGGAAAGTTACTGTAATTTAAGATTTTTAAACAGCTGCTATTTTGCTGCTTAGTCAGCTCAGAGGCCTGAGTGGTGGATGTCCACACTGATTTTCACAGCATTAACTGTGCATTAGCTGCACAGAGTCAGACTTACTTACTCTGAATGATCTGCATCTCTAAGTGTGCAGCACAATGGAGCTGAACTTGTGATATTTTAAAATTTAAAAATATAAAAATAAAATGTTCATTGGTAAAGTATTTAGTTAAATTAAAATGCACAAAGACCAGTAAAATATAAAAACACAAAAGGATACATATATCCAAGTTAAACAGTTACAAAGAGCAAAACAAGCTGCAGAAGGAAATTACTTACACATTTTGTAATGTTCAATAAACATTCAAACTGAGTAACTGGATTTAGAAATTGTGGACATACTGTATGTATATGAACATTTCCCAGTGAAATCAGTCAGTTAACAGTTTGTTGAATTTTGTTAGCATAATATAAAGTGTTATCCTTGATTTCTAATTGTACAGTTTGTTTTAAAATTTACCTTTTGTATTTGATATCATTTATTCAAACTCATCCAGAGATTTTAGTTTCTGGCACCTTCAGCCAAAGTTAAGATAAAGTTTTGTGTTTTTAGGTCCATACCTGTGTGAGTCCTTTGATATGGTTTT